GATGGGCTGAATTGCACAAAACGCATGATCGCATCGGCTAGTCTGGTGCGCGTTGCTATTTATTTGCTGTTAAATCGAAAATTCCGTTAAATCTGAAAAAATTCAGGAACTGGGACAGAAGGGTCATCGCAGCGAGACCATGTCGTTAGCTCTAAAAAGCAGCTGTGTAACGTTTTTTAACGAGGCCGATCGAAACACGCTGATGACAACTCCGCGTATCACTGACAGAGTGGCGGATTTCATCATCAGTTCTCGGCCGTTTATGGATTATGAGGATTTGGTAGGTTTTTCGGAATTCGTCTTTTTCTTGACTTTGCGGACCCCCGTCATTTTCATAAATTCTAGGAGCGTCAACTTCTGCTGTGTCCTCGTGGTCTGGCTGTTGCCGAGCAGTATCTTGATTTCCTCCAGAACCGAAGTATACTTGAAAATATATTGGATGATTGTCGTCGTCATTCGGAGCAGATTCATTCTGCTTTAGAATCAATTAATTCCAAGCAGCTGCAAGCAAAACCGGAACTATTAAGCGATGAGTAAGGTTTTATAGAGTTTCTTTTATGTAGCTTTATAATGTTGTAAAATCGCACTGTTATCTTATTTCCATGTAAATTTACACTTATTCGTTGCAGGTATGAACTGCACCCTTACCAGCAGATTGGCTTGAACTGGCTGCTAATGATGCACCAGCTGAAATTGAATGCCATCTTGGCTGACGAAATGGTAACGTTTGAGATTTTTTTTTGTTTTGATTCTGTTTGAAAACCAGCAGATGGTTGCTTAGAATGAGGCTCTTTACCAACAGTAGCCAATTGTTGACGGAGCTGCTGGTGGCATAATTTCTAAGTTTGCGTATGATATAATCCGGGGTTTTGATCCCGACAGTCCATTCACGATTCCCTCATTGACTTTGACGGCAGGTTGATACCAGCAAATACCAGGGGAGGTCTGAAAGCACTGTCACTTCCTTATAAGCAGTCCTTGTAGGAGGGAACCATAAATAGCTTTGCCTTTGTTGTTGTCACGCAGGGCGACTCGAGCTATTTCCGAGTGTTTCCGCTTCTTACAGATATCTAATACTGAATGGGTTTTTGATTCCAACAAAAGAAAAGCACTTTGGTTCCCCAGTCAGACGGATCAGTACCATTTTACCTTCAGAATAAATTGTGGAAGGATTGTTTTTTTGCTGCAAGCCCTAGCCTGAGAGTAAGTGCTGGTTTTGCCAACTTTTGCGAACAATTTTCCATTTCAAAATAAATGTAAGTTTATTTTATGGGAATCGGATAAGGGAGAAAACCCGTCGAGGAGAAGTACAGACCTATCTGACATTGTAAAAAATCATCATATTTATTTTTATCAGCTATCGACTGCATTACATTATCATTTTCATTTTTCTGAGGATTTTCAGGGTCTTGGGAAAACAATTCAGGTGATCGCTTTTTTGACTCACTTGAAAAGTCAGCAAATCTTTGGGCCTCACCTAATTGTTGTCCCCTCGTCAACAATCGAAAATTGGCTCAGTGAGTTCGCGAACTGGTCACCCGGAATGAAAATTATCACATATTATGGGAGCATTGCCGATAGACGCCAGTTACGACATATGGCTGCCGACAGAAATGTTTGTTCTTTTTGCTTATTTCATTTGCTAGAGCAAAAAATATCACTCTGTAATGTGCTGTTCGTTTGAGCATCTCTGATTGCCCTGAAATACACTAATACGTTTCTCTTTTTTATCGGGATCCACTGAAACATATGATTTGAGGGGAAGAGTGCTCCAGGGCATCGAATATTGCATAAGATATGGGATCAGATTTGCAGACACCTGCTCAGATTGCGCGAGTCAGCGGATGTTTATGTTGAAAGTGTTGTTTTTATGCATTTTTTGCAGCTATGCAATGCAGAAAACGCATATTGATGAAAAGTTGTATGTGTGTGCTTGTGTCTGTGTGTTCGTCTGTACCGATTTTTCATCTCGAAACCGGCAAAAGCTACAGGGCTGAAAC